AAGTGTGGTACCAGATGGGAGTAGTACCTGCAGTGTCGCTAGCACCAGCTGCCAGGAGCTGCCCAGCACAGCCCCATGGCAGTGAGCCAGGTTCAACAGGGTACGCATACACTGGATGTTCTTGGCAGTCAGCTGACAGAGGGACAGACAGTTATATTACAGTACATTCGAATGCACGTCATCAGGCATTTAGTTGATACACTTTCTCGATATTTAAGTGTGAAATGGTAGGAACAGATCAAGTATAACATAAAGTCTTACTAAATTTATGAGCTATAGCATGAAGCGCAAAGGTCACAGCCATACAACTATGGTAACAAAGAAAAAAGGTGTGGAAATACAAATACAGTAGTGCTAAGAGCTAAAACCAGATAAAAACAACATTATAATTTCTATGGGGGGAGTTCTAATTATAACATACTGATTGCAGGTTAGGGTCAAGGCCACTGCCCATGTATTTTAAAATGCTATTGCCCTAAAGGTAAATTTAAAAACACTGACCTGCCCATGTTCATAATAGTTGTTCTTTACCTGAACGGTGCCATGAGAGAGAAAGTGTGTCTGTTTTTATGTGGGCATTATTTTAATGGGGTGATGTGCACATTATGCATACTAATAACACAGACAACCTGGTAAACAAATGGCTTTGCATTTTCATCAGACAGACTTCTTTTTTATGCATGGGATGTTTGACTGATTCTTTGGGTTATATCTTAGATAGTGAAACTCTTAAATTAATAATGCTTGTTATAGTCCAAGTGTCATCTTGTTCAGTTTTTTTTTGTCTTGACAAAGTCTGGAGCCCATATGGACCGTCTCGATTTAACTCACCGCTTTATTTTGGACTAGTCTTGAGTCACACTCAACTATGCTCTGTCTTGCCTTGGACTTTGGTGGTCAGGAATACAGCTGTCTTTTCGAGTATTCAGGGTATTTATCCTCCCCCAACAGCAACAGTTTTGCTTTTTTTTTCCCCCAGCCATTTGTTTAATATATCTCAATTACAACATTTTTGCAAGGTTTATTTTGAAAAACTGCCACATGAATGAAATTATTAAATGTCAAGTGTAACCATAGTCTCTTCATAATTGTGTCCTTACCACTACAGTGCCCTGGGGCTGGGCAGTGAGCGGCTGCCCAACAGCAACCACCTGCTGATGGGATTCACTGGAGGGGCTGATAATTTGAACACTCTGGCCCTGGATCGAGTAGGCTGTGGAAAACACACAGACACACACGTGCAAGACATTTCCACACACACACACACAGGAGTCAAGTCTTTCGATGAGAGTCAGTATACACAAACAGGTTTTGTAACAAGTTTACGACATGCAAGAAGAGCTTTCTTAATTAACTCCAAGGCAAACATCCATCGCAAGTTGAGGCCCAATTTGCCGGCTTTATCTCTACAAGCTAAAATGCAAATAATGAATGTTTGAGCGGTCGGTTTAAGAGCATCTGTGTGTGTATTTGTGTATGTGTGTGTGTGTGTGTGTGTGTCAACAATCTCCAGACACGTTCTCCTTGGTATTTCTAATTAGAAGCCAGAGTGAAAAGTTATGGATCAACGCAATAAGAGTAAGGCAATTGGGACAGGTAGAGTGCCAACAGTTTACATGTTAAGCTCAGTTTCGTGGCATGCACATCTAACCATAGGGGAGAACAGACGTACTCATTAGTTTAACATACATACACATGAACAGAGAGTATCCTCAGGGTTAGAGAGAGGGGCTTTTTAACGGTGTGTGGTACTGTTATGTATTGGCTTGTGTAATGCCTACATTAAAGCAGGAATACAAACATGCATACCAAACTCAGCCTCAAATGGTTCGCAGTAATATTCTGGTATTTCCGGTATATTTGTGTGTGTGTGTATTAAGGCGATGTTTTGTACAAAGAAAAAGTAGTTACAGGAAACCCGATGTACTGCTTAGACTACGTACCTTTGCTGGAGAGGTTGGCGGTGTTGCTGCTCAGAGCGGTCAGGGTATAATGCGGCGGCAGAGAGGCCTTGCAGATGGCTGTAATGAAAGCGTCACGGGGCGTCACCAGGCCCAGACGACCACACAGAGAGGCCATGGTCAGCTCTGCCTTTAAGATGTTCTCTGTGGCTGTCTCATCGGTGCTGAAGAGACAGGACAAGAGGGAGAAGAAAAAAAACAGAAAGTGAAGAGTGTAGTCTGATATCTGGTACATTCAACAGTATCTCTTTGCACTGTCTGTGGCAGTTAACTGTAGCTGTGTCTGGTTTTAGCATGTACTGTTTTTCTACTACAGTGGCAATTTCAATCAAGGCTGATTCCAATAATTTCATTTGATATTAGAGGAAGATTATTATAATTCTGGAAAAAAGAATTAGAGAGTGTGTGATGTATTAAGACTTAAAGTAAATCTTTATCTGAGTGGGGTTATGTTATGTTATGAAAATTGCCAACTATGTTCATCTGGGACTTGGTTTTATTTTATCTGTGAAGGCAAAGTTTTGCTTGGCCTGAACTGTACTTTACATTTAAGCTGTTTGTGCAACACTGAATAAAATAACTATGAAAAGGTCTACAAAACCATATCCTCTGAATAGCATTGCTAGAAATCAGTGTCCAAGTATCCCTCTTGTCAGCTATTTACATTTTCACTACATCTGGACATAGATTTGAGCATTAAAATGGTTGTTGACATGCACATAGGACAAATTAATGGATCAGTATATGTTATAATTTTGACATTTCCTATGGGAAAAGTCATTCTCTCCTGTTCCTGTGCAGTTTATGAAAAGGCGCTACTACCTGGCGTCTAGTAGCAGAGATAGAGCAGCCAGTAGACCACACCAGCAGGCACTGACCATCTCCTCCCACACCAGGTGGGCTCCTGAGATAGAAACACAAATCATCTGTGAGTTTAGTTAGGAATTACTTCACTTTAGTTTGGACAGCATCACTTGGGAAAAGAAACAAAACATGCCTCCATTTTTGATATTTTATTTAAAAAGATAAAGACATTACAGCAGGGTGTCAAACTCATTTCGCATCGTGGGCCACATACGGCCTAGGGAGATGTCAAGTGGGCCGGACCATTAAAATTATACCATACTCTGCTATAAATAACCAAAATATCATGTCTTTCCTTTGTTTTGGTGTAAAGAAGCACAAGAACATTAGGAAAATATTGAAATTTAATGAACTATTCTTTTACAAAACATTTCATGAAACACCTCATATTTCCTTAGACAAATGTGCAATTTACTTTTATCATTCACAAATATGCATTGCAACTGATCCCACTGATTGTACAAAGGCACAAAACTTTAATTGGTACTGAAAAATATAGTAATGCACTTTAAGATTAAATGAGACTTTTAAAGAAAGGAATTTTTAAACCACTTACACATACGCATATAAAATCTAAATGTAATCCCTGCGTACACCTTACAAACTAAGGAGAGTGATTTTAAATGTGTAATGAAGAAAGTGTTCGCCTGTCCTGTAAATCTGTAAACTTCATACATGAAACATACATACACATACAATACATACTGAAAATTTATGGAGTTGTATGAACAGTAGAATTCCATCACACAACTTTTGTTTTGAAGCTGCTGACTAACATTAAAGTGCACATTTTTTAAATCACCACAGTAAGGATTCATCTTCACAGAGCTGTATTCTTTCAATGCAAACAGTATCTAAGGCAGCATTTTAAAGGTGTTAGTCTAGTCTGGACTTGTATTTGTTCCTGAAACTTGGCATCTTTTGGCCTGTACAAGTGCATCAACACCAGGTGTCATGTCCTGACTAGCTGTCACTTTCAGAATGTCATTTAAGTGCTTGTTTGTGAGCCTTGAACGCATTTTTGTTTTATTGATATTCATCACTGAGAAAATTTGTTCACAAAGGTAGGTTGTCCCAAACATGCACAAAATTTTAGCAGCCAGGGCTGTTAATTTGGGGTACCCTGGTAGTAGATACTGATAAAATCTGTCCAGACCTACAGAGGCAAATTTGCCCTTCAAATCTGCATCACACTGCAAATCAATTATCTCTAGCTGAATTTCGACCGGCAGATCAGAAGCTTTAACTGTGAAAGGTGAGCGAAAAACTGAAAATTCTGTCTCAAGTTCACCAAATACCTGAAAACGTTTCTCAAACTCCCGCAGTAGTCCTGCAATTTTGTCTTTGTACCGTTTCATGTCCGCATCAGGTCTGGTCACACACACATCTCTCAGACAGGGGAAATGAGCAGGGTTGCCATTTGCCAGTTGCATCTCCCACAAAGTCAGCTTCAACTTAAATGCATGTATGTTGTCAGAAAACTGTGTGACAACTTTTTTGCGGCCTTGCAACATTTTGTTCAGATTGTTCAAGTGTTCAGTAATATCAACCAAGAATGCAAGGTCCCGTAGCCATTCCTGAGATTGTAATTCCAACACCGGTTTTCCTTTTTTCTCCATGAACTGTCTGATTTCCTCTCGTAGATCAAAGAAATGCCTCAACACAGCGCCTCGGCTTAACCATCTCACTTCAGTGTGGTATGGCAGGCTGTGGGTAATGTTGCTGTCGCTGAGAATTTTGTCAAACTGACGATGGTTCAGACCTCTGGACCGGATGAAATTTACAGTGCGAACAACCACCTCCATGACGTGGTCCATTTTCAGCGACTTGCAACACAATGCCTCCTGGTGCAAAATACAGTGAAATGTCCAGAAACGATCTCCTCCATTAAGGGCTTGTACTTTGTCTTTGAACTTTGTCGCGACACCTGCTTTCTTTCCGACCATGGATGGCGCGCCGTCTGTAGCCAGGCTGACAGCGCGGGACCAGTCCACTCCAACTCTGTCCAATGCAGCAACGACAGAGCCGAAAATGTCCTCGGCTGTTGTGGTGTCCATCATTGGCACCAACTCAAGAAACTCTTCAGTAACAGTCAATGTCTCATCAACTCCTCGAATAAATATGGCCAGTTGGGCCACGTCTGTGATGTCAGTGCTCTCGTCAATTGCCACGGAAAATGCAATAAATGACTTGACTCTCTGTTTCAATTGACTGTCTAAATCTGTCGATAGTTCCGAAATCCTCTCTGCTATAGTATTCCTCGTCAGGCTAATATTGGCAAAAGCTTGTCGCTTCTCGGGACATACAAGTTCAGCCGCCTTCATCATGCATCGTTTAACAAAGTCACCGTCGGAATACGGCTTCGATGCTAATGCTATTTCGCTAGCAATTAGGTAGCTGGCTTTTACCGCTGCTTCACTGACTTCTCGGCTCTGGATGAAAGTTGACTGCTGTTTCCTCAGACCCGCCAGCAATTCGTTAATCTTATCTCTTCTCAGTTGTCCTTGCAAGCCGTCATATTTTTCGCTGTGATGAGTCTCGTAGTGGCGTCGAATATTATATTCCTTCAATACCGAAACTTGTTGCAAACACACCAAGCACAAAGGTTTTCCGTCCATCTCTGTAAATAAATAGGACGTGGTCCATTTTTCTTTGAAAATTCTACACTCCTTATCTACTTTTCTCCGTTTGGATAACGACATTTTGGCTAATGAGGGTGTAGCGGAGAGGTAGAGACCAAGGTATTAACAACGTCGTAACAAGCAGCAGATGGCGCATTGATACCGTCTGCTGTTTTCAGTCTGTCTCAGTGATGCGGCTTGTCTTCTACTCTGATGGAAAGAGTGCGCCCCTTAGCGGATAATCCATGAATTGCAGCGAATTAAAAATATTAATTCCATGTCTTTTATGCATTTTTTCCACTTTCAAATTATCCTGCGGGCCTGATCGAACCTCCTTGGGGGCCGGTTCCGGCCCGCGGGCCGTATGTTTGACACCATATCATATCTGATATGATATGGTTTTGGAAATTTTGAAATCTAATGACTGAGTATGTGATTAAATAACTATATGGATTTGTTTTCATTGTAGAGTTTTCCCTTTATCCTTTGTAAAGTATTTTTTTATTATGGGTAGAAACTGTCTTATTGTTGTTCCACCAACCATTCACAGTAGCTGCCAAAGCGCAGTAATTTCTTAATTATTAATTTGTACATTTGCCAAGAGTTTAATTTTATGAGCAAGTCTGTGTTTGCATGTCTGCATGTTATAACAAAATTGATGCTTTCTATATAGAAGTAAAATACATACATGTCATAGTTTATTTTCTTTAATATCATAACCAAATTACATGTTAATCTGTTCAGTATTTGTCGAGATATTTCTGTCTGAAACAAAGGAGTGGACTAGCTAATTGACCAACCAGACAATTTTGTCAACCCTAAAGCCTTTAACCATGTGACTTAAAATAGAGATACGCTACCTAAACTCTCCAAGCTTCCTGTCATGAAATGCATCTCCAATTCAGATGTGACACTATTTGGTTAGGAGATGTATTGCATTTCATCTCAGCAGGTTTAGACATCACATTTTTTACAGATGAAGGCCCTTCATGTCAGAGCCAAATAGCTAGACTGACTAAACAGAAACAGGTCTTTGAGGCCCCTCATGGTTATTTTGTTTGAAGTTTGAATTGAGAAGATTTTTTGAGTAGTGTTGAATAAAAACTTGAAATTTCAGTGCTCACAAGAGGTATAATAATCTTAACTTTCACCTGCTGAGATGTGAATGTTTTGTTTTGTCAAAACCCGGCAGCACATCACCCAAGGCTTTTTATCCTCCAAGAATTATACCAGCTAAAGAGACTGCTGTATAACAAATTGCATACTCCAATATAAAATATGGAAGTGGCACGAGTGTCTGCAAACGCAACCAAACAATCATAAGGCAGTCTCAGAGCAGCTGTGCCTGATGAGGACAGATGTCTGCGTCAGGTTGTAAACGGCTTCT